CTGATAAAAAAAAACTCTTGGAGAAAATCTCATCAACATGAACTTACCGCCTTCCGCCGTATGGAATTGTATGACTTCGCTCGGTTCACCTTCATGGGCTCCATTTATCACCTACAAGAACATAGTTTGAAATTCTCAAAAAAGAGAAATAAGCGGAAAGGTTCTTGTGCATAAAGAAAGATAGAAATCTAGAGTGCATACAAAGCAAGCTACCTACAGTGCAGTACAAAGAGGACAGTACCACCATGCAAGAAAAAAACCACCAGGCCTTTATAAAGCTTTATGTATCCCTCTAAGTCTAGTGCATGCTAATGGGTGCTGATCTAATTTATCTCTCCAAACCTGTATAGTCGCATAATTTTGCGTATCGGGCTTCAAATCAGTAATCGTTCCACTTGTGGCTTTCGGGCCAAACACAACCGTTTTTCTCCTGCTTTCAACAGCTCGCTTTGTCTAAAAAAGTAATTTATACACCTCAAAATCACAGCTAAAAGTTCGGCTTACTCTTGACGCTCTCCTGAATCGAAGCCTCGACTCAACCTCGTTACTCTCTTCTTCCTCGCCTTCAACTTCATCGTGCCAGTATGTAATCTAACAAAATCAAATTATCAAAATCTAAATTTTATGGCTAACAAAACCAAGCAGACCTTGTATCCAGTGAAGTTTCCATTCGCTGTACTTGGATCCACAGGATTCCAAGCGAATGTAGCTGTGGTGCCGTCCTATAATTGGAAATGTGCTGTGCGTGTTCAATTAGCCGTGAAAAAAGCAGAAGAACCTAATGAGCTTCCAAATAGGCTATATTGCCTAGAATTACTTACTTTGCTGACAACACGGAATCCGGTAGGGATACTGCTAGGAACGCCTTCTCCGGTACGACCCTCCACAGTTTCAGGCACAACGTTGGCTGTGCCCTCGTCGTTTACAGCTTGCACCTACAAAGTTACAAAGTGAGATTTTTGGTGGAAACTAAGACTAGAACGAAAACAAGTAGCCATGAACTCGTCCACTCCCTACCTGCACTTCATATGGTTGGAACGGTTTCGCATCTTTATCATCATCCAAAGTTATTGTGTAACGGTCTGCAAACGGATCGTTGACTTGCACTTCTTTCCAGTCACCGCTACCGTCGGCAGGTCGATACCTGGAGATTCTCACCGTAAAAGCAAATCTGCATGGTACAGAGGGGTGATCTGGGAATTTTTTACTGCTAGCGTTAGATGAGAATAGTATACCTTTTCAAATACAAGAATGTTTCTTTGCACTGAAAAACTTATAGAAATTTTGTTTGATTTTTTTTT